ACCTGCGTGATTCAAACCCATGTTCAAGTGTCAACTCTTTAAGGAAACCAATTTTACCGTAGGCTAATTGATATGAACAAGACTTAAGTTCCTACAGTACCTTATCAATGTTTTAATAAAATGATGTTATTTGAGGACCTGCTATAAAATCCATGCAGAATTCAAGTGAATTTGAAAGAAATTTTGATACTGCTGCTAGGCAATTCACACTGCCTCTTCTCACTGACTTACGCTGTAATGTGAACTCAGCAGATAACATTACTTCAGTGGAAAAGTTTAGGAGGCACTCCTCCTTTAGGGCAGTGGGATGCATTCCCAGCTTTGCCTCCTTTGTCAATAGGTTGTTCGCAATCGGCTCCCAGCTGTCTCCTGAACAGGGCAGCTCAGGCATCGAGATGTTGGAGACAGACACATTCAAACTACACTGCTTCCAGACACTAACAGGTTTGTATTTCCAGATAGGCCAAAGGGATGCATTGGGGCAGGTTGGGGGAAGAGATTGGCCAAAGACAGCTTTGGTAAGCATTGGTGGGGAGAGGTAGCTTTTTCTGGGGCAGTTACACAGACACATCTATTTATTTGTTTTGTGAATCCAAAGCTAGTATTTAATCTGACGCTGATTTTTGTCCACACCACCCAGCATGCTCAGCCTTGGTTATCCAGTGCTCAAGTAAAACTCGCCTTCATGTTATCTCATGTTGCACACATTTTGGAAGTTGTGTTGTTCCAAAATGAAGTTTGAATGCCAAATAGAAATTACCTTTGGATCATGAGTGTCATTGCTTCACTCTTTTAATGCAGATAATTGAAAATTGCCTGAGTTTGTCCCCTGCTTGGCACTTTCTGCTGAGGGACCCCAAGACTAGAAGTAAGTGACAGAGCTAGAACTCAAAGCCTGGCCTCAGTCAGCTGGGTGACATGATAAAGTCACTTCAATTCTCTGGTCTCACCTATAGATTTAAAATCTTGCCTTTCCTGCTTTGCGGAGCAGTAAGGATAAAATGATAATGGGCTTATGAAAGTGCTTTGCAAAATTGAGAGTGCTGGACAAACACAGGATGACATTATTTGCTGTATATGCTACCCTTTGATAACCATGCCTGGTCCCTCTCCAGGGATCAAGTTTGTGGTGCTGGCAGACCCTAGGCAAGCTGGAATAGATTCTCTTCTCCGGAAGATTTATGAGATTTACTCAGACTTTGCCCTCAAAAATCCATTCTACTCCCTGGAAATGCCTATCAGGTAGGTTGTCCCACTCCCCATATCAAAGCCTCTGTGCCCTTCCCTGTGTGCTCTTCCCTAAAGTCATTTTGAAGTGTAATAGAATCATTTTTAAATAAAAGTGAGTATACTTTTACTTCTTTTAAATAATTTTTTTCAATTACACTAGGCATACAGTGTTTAGCCTATTACTTTAAGAAACCAAACTTTCCTTGGGGTTTATGTTCTTCAAGCAGGCTCTTCACTGGCTCTGCCTCTGAACTTAAAGTGGGGATAGAGCCTTAGGCCTCATACTTTGTCCTTATTTGTGCCTCTTGGACCTGGTGTAGGTGTGAGCTGTTTGACCAGAACCTGAAGTTAGCCCTAGAGGTGGCAGAGAAAGCTGGAACTTTTGGACCTGGGTCATAGGCTGAACCTGCAGAGGACTCCACCACCACCGCCATCAAATTCTGAGAGATTCTGCCGCAAGGGTTCTGCTGTTTCTACTCCAGTGGAGAGCCCAGCAGCCTTGTTGGCGCCTTTAAAAATGGGAGGGTGCTGAGCCTGATGACATACTGATCCCCGAGCCTTAATACCATGCTGTTTTCCCTACTGTATCTATCGTGATTCTACTTCCCAACTCTGTACAGATTTATTTATGGAGGAGGTAGGCCCATAAATGCTGTAATAAACATTCCTTTGATCTGTGTTTGCTGTCCTAATTGGTGATTTTGGAGAAAAGGCCCAGGAGGGGAAATAGGAATGAAAAGGGAATATTAGGAAGATAAGATACTCTAGTAGAAAACAAAACAAATATGTTCATTAAATGAATAAACATGGGACTCAGGAGCCTTAGGTCTGGTTTCATAATTGCTACTGACTTCCCAGTGATAGGACGGTAAATTCCCCCAAGTTGGCTGCGGTGGGGGAGGGAGGAGGGGCGGTGAGCTCAAGCCCTGCAAGGAGAGAGAAAAGGGTTCTTGGCTGAGCGCAAGAAAGAATTTAAATGCCAAAGTCAGTCAAAAGGAAAGTTTATTAGAGAAGGGGTAATGCTCATAGAGTGTGGTAGTCTCTCAGAGGCAGAGAATCTAAGAGAAACATAGGAACAGACAGTAGAGTTGGGGACAGTGAGACATTAAAGACACTGAGAGGGACCTTGAGCGTTAGAGGAATTCAGTTTATATATCATTCTTTAGTTTTCCTTTGATATGGGCAAAGAGTGAGAAAGTATGTAGTGGGAAAGGCCTGCTGGCAGTTCCCAGCCTTTGATCAGTAGGTTCCCCATGTTTTAGCCATAGGGACTGAATGATTTTATTTTGTGCAGGTGCCACCAAAAGACTTTCCTTCATGGTGTGGGGAATGGGTTGTTAGCAATCCCAGCAGAAATCTTCCTTCTGCAGATTTCCTGGTGGTCTGGCTCTAGGGTTGATCATCATATTGAAGTCTCTTAATATAGCTTGATTTAACGTTCTCTTGCCTCCTCCCTACATTACTAGGGTGGGGGTGGTGGTGGTGGTGGTAATGATGATGGAACATTTATCAAGTGTTTATAGCCAGGCTTTACTGCTTTATCTCATTTAATCCTCACCCAAACCTTAGGGGGCACATTCTGTTACAGGTAAGAGATTTAGCAAGGTAATTCTGTGCCTCCAAGACTCAAAGCTAGTTACAGCCTGAGTTTGAACCCAGGCTTTCCAACTACACTTTCAGCCAAGGTTATACTGCCTCCCTCCATAAAGTTATTTAATCTTCCTGACACCCAAAAACTTCATCTCTGAAATGATCATTGAATTATACAGTGTTAAGTTGAAGGCAGAAGAGATGTGAACTTAAATGAGTCCGTGTCAGCTTTCTCATTCCAGGGAAATGGAAGTCCCTCACTTTTGGGGTGGAAAGAATAGGCACTGAAAAAGTATTTTCCAAAAAAAGTTCTCTCTGACTCATATTATCTCTTGAAAAAAATAATTCACTGACAGCATTGAGTATCAAATCTAGTTTTAATCTATAACAAGTCTTACTACACTCCCAGCCATACCCCACTATTGTACCCTGGGTAATGGTGAGAGTGATGGCCTCAGCTCTTCCCCTGGAGCCTGAGATATTGGCAATAGCAGTTGCCCCCTGCTTAGAAGCCCTAGGACAGAAGGCAGTGGCCTTTGGTGCCCTGCAGCTGTAGGAGGAGCCTCACTTCAGGTGAGGATGGGGTGGCATGGGGGAGGGGCAGAGCCCAGGAAAGAAGAAAGGTATAGGAGACTCCCTGACTGCTGGGGTGTCCTGTTTAAAAGGCAGGAAACAGGAGCTAATGGAGTCTTAAAAACAAAGATAGTCTTTTAAATATGAGCATAGGATGGAGAGCTGGGACCTCATTAGCACTGATAACTTCCAGTGCCACCTAGGCTAGAGAAAAGGGAAGTCAAAGGTTCAATGCTAACCAAAGCAGCCCCCTCCCTCTTCTCCCCACCCTGTGCAGGTAAAAGGCCACAGGTGAAAGGATGCTCTGGAGCCTGCACTGTCTTCACTCAGCCTTCTTGGGCACTCGGCCCATCTTGGTGCGGATGTTTCGTAGGAGGAAGAAGGCAGCTGTACTGGCTGTGCAGATCACTTCAGCCACCCAGAAGGCTGTGTTCCAGTTGTAGTGCTTGGCAATGGTGCTGAAGGGCAACCCAGCCAGAAAGCCGCCCACTGCCACAGGGGAGGGGGAAGCCCGAGTCATTTGTGAGGTTAGAGCCTGCCCCAGCCTCTAACTCTCTTATGTGGGGATGAAGTACAGACTCTAGAGGATACCACTTACCATTGGCCATGAGTCCAACAATGGCATGGGAGGTGCCACACAAGTTGGGAGGGGCACTCTCATTGGCTATAACTCCGAACAAGGCAATGGGACCATAAGAGGAGAAACCAAACACAGCTCCCAACACCAGGATCCAGAGCTGCAATGGCAGTGCAGGGTAGCATTTAGAGTGAGAAAGCCCACCTACTTACACCTGTCAGAGAAGAGAGGAATGTTTGGCCCCCAGGAACAAATAGTTGTAGTAAGGAAATAATGACCTCCCTCATCCTACTTCCCAATACAATTGACAGTGCAGAGCTGGAGGAGTGCCAAACTGAGGCAACCTAAGGGCCTATGCGGATAGGTAAAGGAGGTAGAGAAGCCATCCCTACAAGTTAGTTAGATGCTGTCTCGATGTATGCAAGCTGAACTGGCAAGGGCCAAGGCAAAATGGGTAGGATAAAGGTGAGAGAAACCAAGAGAGAAATCAGAGATAAAGATAAGGCACCTCGTGTTCTTTAAAGCCTGTGAGCTCAGCAAGAGGGTGAAGAGCCGGAGTCCAGAAAGCAGCATCCTAGAGGAGCATAGGGAAGAGAAGAAAACCAGGCCCAGAGTCGAGAGGCACCAAAGTACAAAGGAGAGAAACTGAGGTAAAAACAATTGAAAAGGGAAATCTGAGAAGCAGAGAAAGTCCTGGGCCAGGGAGGAGACTGAGTCATTGGTCCTTGCTTTCTGATCCTTGTGCCTGTCCTGGGCCAGGCCCTCTGTATTTACCTTGGGGGAGTCACTGGTCACGGTTACCCGTAAGAGATACATGGACACTGTCATGCCAGCCATCATGAACAGCAACAGGCCATGGCGAGGGTTCCCATGGATGGAGAGCCCTGCCTGTGGAGATAGTTCAGCAATGTCAAGCCCTAAGAGCAGCAGAGAACCCCCACGCCTGGACTCTGACACAGCAGGCCTCTGCTGACAGGTCTTTGGCAATCCCACCACAGTTCTTGGCCCAAGCAGCTCTGGGAAGCCCTGGGACCTGCTCATTATGTTCTGAGGCCAAACTCCACTGTATCCCTTCCTCCACTTGGGGCAGGCTCAGGACATGTGCTGGTAAGCTGCACCCCATCCCTTCCCAACCTGTTTTCCTAGGGCTGTGTAGAAGCCCATTACTAGGCTGAGAGATATTCTGACTCTCCTTGACATCAGTTAAAACCCTTTCCCCAAAAGCTTTGTCTCCACATCCCCAGCAGAGTAGCCTGGACTCGTTCCCACCTCACCCATTTTAAACCAGCATATGTCAACCTCCCTGTGCCCTAGGGCTCCCACCTCTCTGATGCCTGTCCCAGTTGTGCTGGGAAGATTTAAAGGGATCTTCCTCCTTCCTGTTCCTTCTGCCCACTCACCTTTGCCATGGCCCGGTCTGACAGGTAACCAGCTGCAATGCTGCCTACAAGGCCCCCAACCTCCAGGGCACTCATGTAGGAGCTACCTGCAGTGGGAGTTGTGGTGGGAAGAGGGAAAGGAAAGGTGGGTGTTACACATTGGGGTTGTCCCAGATTGGCTTAAACCCAGAGAGGTACAGAGTCCCCAAGGGTGACTGGTCACAGCTGCCTGAGTAGTGCCCAGCCTTAGGGACAGAAGAAAGAGGATAAAAGGAAATGGGCCTGAATGTTCCATCCCCTGCATTGATTCCTGCTCCCTATGCCCACCCTTGTCCCAACACTCATCTTACCCACGAGGGCTGACTGTCCTTTCTCCTGGATAAGGAAGAACTGGCCCCAGTCAGTACAGCAGGTCTTTACTCCAAACACCACAAGGTAGCCAGTGGAGAGTATCCACAGGTAGGGAGACAGAAGTAGCTCCTGTAAGGTACTCTCCTCCTTCAAGGAGCCTGGGGTGGGAGGAAGCCAGGCCTCAGGTTCTCCTTCTGCTGCCCTACCCCCATTGAGCCCCCACCACTCATTAACCAGCCCCAGGAGCAGAGTCCACCTAAACAGTCAGAGAT